AGCCCATTGTTACAGCCACTGTGTCAATCCATCTTACTGAGGGTCTTCCTCTTTTTTGCTGCCCCTCTACTTTACCAAGCATGATGTCCTTCTCCAGGGACTGGTCCCTACTGAGAACATGTCCAAAGAACGTGAGATTAAGTCTCGCCATCCTCACTTCTAAGGAACATTCTGGCTGTACTTCTTCCAAGACAGATTTGTTCGTTTTTCTGGCAGTCCACGGTATATTCAATATTCTCTGCCAATACCATAATTCAAAGGTATCAATTCTTCGGTCTTCCTTATTTATTGTCCAGCTTTTGCATGCATATGAGGCAACTGAAAATATCATGCTTGGGTCAGGCACACCTTAGCCCTCAAAGTGACATCTTTGCTTTTTAACACTTTAAAGAGATCTTTTCCAGCAGATTTGCCCAGTGCAATGCGTCATTTTGTTTCTTGACTGCTGCCTCCATGGGCATTGATTGTGGATCCAAGCAAAATGAAATCCTTGACAACTTTAATCTTTTCTCCATTCATCATAATGTTGCTTATTGGTCCAGTTGTAAGGAATTTTGTTTTCTTTACTTTGAGGTGTAATCCATACTGAAGGCTATAGTCTTTGATCTTCATCAGTAAGTGCTTCTAGGAAGAAGGACCTGGTGGTCTACTTTTGAAAAAATTGGCTAGTGAAAACCTTATGAATGGCAGCAGAACATTTTGACAAGTAGCCCCCAAATTTTACTTAGGGGTCCACCCTACCCTAACTCTCAGTCCATGTGGCCTAGGCAGGGCTCTGTGGCAACTCCAGACCTAAGACAATCAGATCACTGCACTCCTGAGCAATTGCTTCCAGGGCAGGAGAGTGATCTAAGTGGGTTCAAATGGAGTGACTCTTGGGGCTTTCCTGGGATGTACTGGGTAAGTGTTTCTGGCTTCCTCTCTGGGTTTGAACCTGAGAGGATGGGAGATTCTGACTGAAGCCAGGTAGGAAGCAGACCCATAGATGGAGAGAAACCATCCATATGAGTGCTGAATCCAGCTGTACCTGAAGCAAGCCCTATCCTAGAATCAGTAAGCACATCAGTCAATAAATTCCCTCTGAGCTTAACCAGTTTGGGTTGGGTACTGATCATCTGCATTAACAAAGAAAGAGAGCCAGGACTCATACCCAGGTCTCTTAATATCTTCAGAGTCTAAGTCTCAACAACTGAGGTCTAAACCTGTGCTCTTAACAACAGGCCAGACTATGGGCCTACTCCACCTCTCTCTTCCAAAATGCAATGAATCTACTTTGGGCTGAGGTCCCGGGTTGTCTTCTAGCTGCCTCACGGCTGCTGCACACAACATGCTCAATGAATATGAGACTGACTGCTATCTAATTAATTAATCAAAATTCAAAGAGTGAAATTAAATTAGGCATAGCTTATCACAGAGGCAGTAGGCTAAGAGATGGCCAGGGTTTTTATCATGGAGATACAAAGTTATTGATTGTCTGCGTGGCTCCATTGCGAGAGTTCCCCGATTTTGAAAGCTCACCTGACGGGTGGTAAGAGCAACATCTCCTCCTCCCCAGACATTTAATTTCCAAAACCAAGCACTGGCCATGTTTCCTTCACACGCACGGCCGTGCTTACTCCAGAGCCCACGAGAAGGTTGGATTTCAGCTTGTTATACAGTACTAAAATTATGAAGATAAAACTGATCTCTGTAAGATCGTTTTAAATGAAAAGTGGTTCCTAGGGGCAAGAAAAGGAAGCAAGCTGATTGAGAGAGCACAGGGCTCTGGGCAGGAAGGGCAATGGAGTGATTCCAGGTGGGGGCTTCTGCAGAAACAGATGCAAGCCTGTCAAAAAGCCTGTTTGGCCAAGGTCAGATGCCCTGTGGTGTCCTCCCCAGTTTCTTCCGCTGGGGCCCAAAATTACTTTGTAACACCACTAGCCACTGACCACACTCTTCCTTGAAACCAGCTTGGGTGAGTACCAGTTGTTTTCCCCTGGAATACCATGGAACCCCTGCCAAACTTGAGCAGGCAGGAGAATCATCTGGAATCAGCTTAGTTTGTGGGAAAGGTAGATTTGAGGGCTTCACTCCCAGTCACTTTCCATTCAGTAGGTTTGGGAAGGGGTCCAGGAACATGCATTTTCACAGGCACCCAAAGTGATGATTCGGACGCAGGTGATTTGTAGATTATACTCTAAGAAACACTAGGGATTCAAAGATGGGAACCTGCTGCCTAGTGGAAGATACAGACAGATGAACTTGTGATTCAGATCAAGCCTAGAGACTCTGTGAGAGGCTGTGGAGCCAGACCAGGGTTCATGTCCTGCCTCCCCAACTTGCCAGCCGTGAGGCTTTGAGCAAAGTCCTCAGCCTATCTGAGCCAAAATTTCTTTATCTGTAAAAGTAAGGGGGTGCAAACGGTTAGCACACTCAACTGCTAACTAAAAGTTTGAAGGTTCATGTCCACCCAGGCACACATGGGGTCCCCATGAGTCAGAACCCACTCAACAGCAACTGATGAACTGATTATACCATTGTGAGAAAAAATGAGGCCCTGTAAAATTCTTAACATCAAGGAAACACTCAAGAAATAGCCATTAATTATTATTAAGGTGGAGTTCCTGGGTGGTGCAAATGGTTAATATGCTCAGCTGCTAACTGAAAGGTTGGGGGTTCGAGTTCTCCCAGAGGTGCCTCGGATGAAAGGCCTAGCAGTTTACTTCTGAAAAATCAGCCATTGAAAACCCTGTGGAGCACAGTTCTTCTCAGACACACACGGGGTCGCCATGAGTTAAAGTTGACGCGATGGCAACAGTTCTTTATTATTATTAAGGGGAGAAGCAACCTGTATCCTGTATTCATTCTCCCATTCCCCAGCCCCTAGCTGTGTGCCTTTCACATTCCAGGCCTTTAGTGGATGTTTGTGAAATGCAAGAAGGCATTACTTTGGAGAAACTCACCTGGGATGGGCAGGATAACTCCTGAAAGATCCACTGCAGGATCCATTCACTCATCCAACGAGCATTTATTGAGCACCTGCTATTTACAAAGCTCAGTGTGTAGGCACTGGTGAGGAAGAGTCAAATAAAATACGAAGTCTAGTGGGAAGACCCACTGCTACAATACAGTATGGTCTGTCCAAGATAGAAGTAACCCCAGAGGCACACTCCAGCACTTGATTACATTCTGTCCTTTAGCATCCTCATGTTGCTTATTGCATGACTCTCCTCCCAAACTGTACCATCAGCTTTAAGGGCAGGAGTTGTTTGTCTTGTTTACCACTGAATCCCTAACACCCAGCAAAGTACCTGCCATCTAATAAGCATTCAATAAGTATTTGCTGAAGTGGTGACTATTCCACTGCTGTTTCAGAGCCCAACGCTGGACTGCTATGGAGAACCACCTCCAGCCTCCCTGACTACTGAGTAGGATTCTTAATGGGCCCAGAGATAAGATCCCAAGAAGATTTGTCTGTCCCTTGATGTAAAGCCTGACAGTGAGCGGAGACAGGGACAGGCTGCAAGACAATTTATCATAATACTGTATAGTTAGGGTAGCTTTCAACTACTAGGCCAATACTAAACCAACTGAACTGGACATGAAGTACTGTCAGATTGACCTGGAGGCCCAGAGAATGATTAAGGCACAAAGACAGTATAAGGTTTCCCTTCTGACATTCCACAAGGGAAGAAAAGAGGAAATCAAGACACCCTTTATTTTCTTTTTGTGTGTGCATAACAAATCAAGCAACCAAACCCTTTGGCGTTCGAGTCCGACTCATGGTGACTCCATGTGTGACAGAGTAGAACCACGCCATAGAGTTTTCTTGGCTGTAATCTTTATGGAAGCAGATTGCCAGGTCTTTCTTCCACAGTGCCGCTGGGTGGGTTCAAACCAACAACCTTTAGGTTAGCAGTCCAGTGCAAACTGTTCGTGCCACTCAGGGATTTTCATTGTATGCATACTAAACCAAATCAAACCCACTGCCGTAGAGTTGATTCCGACTCATACCAGCTCTACAGGACAGAGTAGAACTGCCCCATAGGGTTCCCAAGGGGGAGTAAAGAAAAAAGAAGCTCCAAGTTGTCCTAGCTCAAGGGATAGGGGATGTTCTCACTGTGGAAGGGAGGGAGAGAAAAGAAAATTTCCTAGAGGACGATCAGTATGGCAAGTAACTGCCAGGAAGAATACCGGTTTAAGTCAGGGCAGGCAACTTACACACATCTGGAGAAGCCAGGCAGCTGCTGCCACACCAACGAACTCCAAACTCTTGGGGTGAAATGGAGAGGAAGGGGCACTGGAGTATGAGAGGGACCCCAGGGCTATATTTCTGACAGGAAGAAAACAATGGGTGGTGTCCAATCACGGCCAGGTCAAACAGTTTGGGGGCATGGTGTTCTCTGCTTCTACAAATTGAATCACTTCTGCACCTGTGTTTCACACCTTTGATAAATGGCCCGCCACCTTACATACTAGGTCTGCAGTAAACACGTGTTGATCGAAACGAAAAAGTGAATGAACGCATTGCCACGAAGGATCCCGAATTCCCCTGCCCAAACCACTATTCAAGGTAATTCCACCTGGCACGGGTGTTACCACAGGGCCCGGATTTTCCTCCAAGGCACCACCCTTCTGTTTCAGCACCAAGCGTCCAATCGCTTGGCTCCAAAACAGCGATGACCACGAAGGCAGGTGGGGCTTGGCTCTTCTCCTCCAGGATCCCTTTGCGTCTCTCTCCAATCTAGGGCCCAACCCTACCCAAAGGGAAGGCCCCTCCCCAAAACGCGCACCAGATGGCGTGGAAGAGAGTGGCGCCAGGGAGACCGGAAAGTGCGGGGGGGGCAGCGCACCTGGCGAATGGTGCGGTGGCAGTGCTGTAACTGCGCGCTGCAGCCGCCGGGTGCGCAGCCCCCGCGCGGCCCTTCCCGCGCACGGCCGCGCAGGGGCCTGGGGGCGCGGGCTGGGGCTGGCGGGCCGTTCTGGCGGCCCAGCCTGCCTGCCCGGCGTCAGGGCCTCACCTCGCTCACCAGCCCTTGCCAGTCGCTCTCGGTCCGGTCGCTGTTCATGGTCTCCTCCTCCAGGCACGCGCTGGCTTCATGGACGCCCTCTTCTTTCTCTTCCTCCTCCTGTCGCTGCCGCCACCGCCACTCCGGCCCCGCGCGGCCCCGTGAGGGCCCGGCGCCTCCGAGCCGCTTCGCCGCCGCCTCCTGCAGCCGCCCGCGCTGTTGACTCAACGTCAGCCTCCG